TATTATTTAAATTAAAAGACTAGATACAATTTGAATTTATGTTATATTTTTGATGACTATAAATGCTGTGCACCATAGGTCAATTATTAGTTTTTTCTAATAATGAAAAAATAGTTAATGGTTAAAAAAATAGAAAAATTTTGACTATTATTTTAATTCTGAAATTATTTTATGTAAAAACAATTATTTCAAACTTGTTGGAATTTTAGATAATACTTTTTATAAGCAGTTAATAATTATTTATTAACTGAAGGCTTAATAGAAAGATAACATAGAAATATAAAAAATATTTCTAAAGTAATATCACAGATTACAATTGATCAAGAATTATCAACCAAAATTTATAATTTTATTATTAATTATACAAGTGTTTATAGACTTTCTTCATCAGGCCATCATATACAAACTGATTCTTTGAATTATTTTATTACCAACTAAAAAAAAATTATACTAGTGTACAGTAGTGATCAAAAAAAATAACAATTTTACTATGTCAGATCGTCATTTTGCAACTTTTTTAATTTTAATCGTACATATATAAATTAAAATGCAAATGAAAGCCTTAAAATTAAGATATTACTTTCAAGTAAAACATTTTCTATACCTTAATAAAAATTTTAGTTTATTAAGCTTTAAAGTAATTTTATCTAGGCAAAAACTTAACATTAAATGAGATTACATTTCTGAAGATAGGAAGTATACAATACTAGTAAAATATACTTATTCATAAAGATTAATATAAAACTATCACTAAAAACTTAAAAAGATTGAAATAAATTAGAGATTAAATGTAAAAAATTCTTTATCAAGATAGCATTTTAGTCATTTTATTAAGTAATTTGGTATTTTACTAAATTTTTTTTAAAAATAGTATTTTAAAGGTCATAGATTGTTCTTTTAATAATATAGATCTAAAAATTATTGAAAACTATTAGCTTAATTATTAAAAGGAATGTGAAGTTATATGGGCTAGAAAAATTTAGTAAATTAAAATTTTTTGAATAAAGATAAAAAATAAAAAATACAAAAAAACCTTCTGATTGATTTTATAAATTCAATTTATGATATTATAACAGGATTATTGAAAAAAAAATGGTAAATAAATACCTTTATTTTTTTTTTAAATAAAATTTATCACTTATTAGCAGTGATGTACATTTTCGATGTCCCAAACATTTTGAGACTGTCCCACATTATGTCCCAAAATGTCCCACATTAAGTCCCAATGTCCCAGGCCATGTCCCATGACAACACTGCTTATTAGCTTTAAAATGATATACTTTATGTTTTAATTAGATTTTTTTTTAAAAATTGTCATTTTTTTTGACCACCACTGTATATGAAGACTTTGTTGCAGTTAGAAAAAAATTAGACAATAGTGCTTCAATTATATCATAGTTCAAATTTGGAAAAATCTTACACCACATGTTAAATTTATGACACCTGGTACAGATTTAAGTGATATATGTGAAATGTTAAAAAAAAATAAAGTAGCATTGGATTTGAAAAATCATAAAAATGAAGCAGAAAAGGTGTATCAATATTATAATAATATTATTACAACTAGTAATACATCTAAAGAAATAGCTCATATTTGCTATAACTGGACACAAAATGTTCCTATTCCTTTTTCACCACGCAAATTTATTTTAAAACAGCATTCGCGGTACATATTTCTGGAGTATGTAGTACAAAACAAAAAAAAACTAAATTATTTAATTGGTGAAGAAGAATTTCCAAATGGTTCTGCAGAAAAAGGAGCCAATACAACCATTAATCTTGTATTTAATGCTCTAAGCAAACTTTATCAAGGAGAACAACATTTAAAGTTACTTGTGATAATTGTACAGCTCAACAAACTCTCTTTATTTTTTTTGAGCTTGGTTACAATGATAGGAATGTATGATACTATTGAAGTTAGTTTCATGATTCCGGAACACACAAAATTTTTGCCAGATGGATATTTTGGTAATATCAAAGCTCTTTTTCGAAAAACGCGGACTAATACAGTGAATGATATTATCAAACTTTTAAGATTTCGGATATTTCAATGGGAAATGCCTCCAATTTCGAGGTGAGCTTAATATAAAAAATTTATCAATAGTAATTTTATATGGGTCCATGCATAGTTTTGATTTAATTAGTCCATCGACCACCCCAACTGTACACCACTACCGAAGGAAAATTTATGTGATATTATAAACATTCAGATATTTAAAAGTCATATTTTACATTTATTGTTTAAACTTAATCTTAATTTAATTTCAAAAAAAGTTGCTATATATCCTTGTGTTTGTGATTTCCGAATAATGAAAACGCGAGATGTATTAATTATAATTATATTCTTAATTTTACATTTTTCCATAAAAAAAAACCTTAGAAGGTCTATAATCGGAAAGATTTATTAGACGACCAAAGTAAATGGCTTTTTCGTGATATGGTAAAATATTATTAAATTTTAAATTTAATATATTTTCTAAATTTGAAAATTTAATCTCCTCCGCTGCGTCGAATTGATTTGATAAATCAGATTGCTCAGGATCATTACAAATTGCTGTGACCCATTTGTCTAAACAATTGTAAAGTTGAGATGCTGTTGGTCTATTTGAAGGATTATAATCCAAACATTCGTACATTAATTTAGCAAAAACAGGTGGTGTCCCACTGACAACACTTGGTTTTAAGCCTGAACCGATTTCCCGAACAAGTGTTAAATCATGGTTTCTATTGCAATATGGGCGCACATCAGCTGATAACATCCACATAATCATGCCAAAACTGTAAATATCAGATTCTTTTGTTGGATTATTTCCATTAAAAATCTCCGGAGCAACGAAAGGTATTACTCCGTAGATTTGTTTTGTCGATATATCAGCGGGACAGGGTAATCCGGTATCCGAGATTCTAACATCAATTGAATCCGCTTCGTTTTCAACCAAAATATTTCCTCCATGTAAATTTCCATGAACGAGGCCACATTCATGAATAAAGTTAAGACCGGCTGATATGTTCCACAATATTTCTACGATATCTCTCCAGCAAATGGCTCCCAATGATTCATCAAGATAGGAATATAAATTTCCTTGTTCGTAATACCTCATAACCATCATATAATTTGATGTTGGATCTTTAGTCATCCCAAAGTATTCTGCAAGTATATCACTTTGTAAACATCGGCGATATTTATATAACTGTTTATTAAAAATTAAAGACGAAATAAATATATGGAAATGAACTTGGTTTAATATTGTTATATGTCCGGAGCGAAGGACTATGCACAGTGACACAAATGTCCCGTTTGCATCTCGAACGATGCGGATTGGTTCTTTACGTTACACCGTTCCCTATAATGTTAGAACACTCACTTGATTTACTGAAGCATTTAACCGCCTTAATATAACCTTAGTGGGACCGTTACGTATCCACACTTTGGCATCTTTGTCAAATTTACATTTCGGGCCTTCTTTCCATACTGCGGAATAAATTTGACTGAAATCACCTTGTTGATTGACTGATTCAAGTTGATCGAAATTAATCCATTCCAGATGGTTCGTATGTTCGATAATTTGTTGTATATCGCTATGGTCATAAGTTTGAGATTTATTATTAAAATCCATTATTGCTATGAAGAAAATTTCGAAATTCGAGTGAAGGTATCTTCTATTTATATATTGGTCTTTGATTAATCATTATTACATTGTTAAATCATATGGAGATTTTATTGGAGATTTTATTGTTTAGTGTTTACCTGTCATAATTTTAATCAATTAATCATTTTGATGCATTTAATAAAAAAATAAACCTAATTAGTACAAGTCAAATCTGATAAATATTATTGATAATGCATCATGAATCGACGATTAGATCAATTTTAGTGCATGGTAGATCATTTTGCTTATCTTATCTGTCAAAATTCGTACGACAATTTTATCAATCTTTGATAACGTGTTTATGAATTTATATTACACAAATAACGCGAATCGTCTTTATTTTTCCTTCTCTGAAATGATAAGATCATAATATTACATTTTAAAAATTGGGTGCATGTCAAATATAGATTTGATCAAATTCTTATCAGTTTGTTTATGCATATAGATAACAAAAAAAAAATAGAGTTCATATAAAAAATCATTGGTACCTTTCAAAAGTAAGACATTAATAAAATAAATTATCTCATTAATTTTGGTTTGAATTTCTATATTCTAAATTTTTTGGTTAAATAGACATTTCATTGAAAAATGTCCGGTATGAAAAAATTTCTCCATTTATGGTAGTAATTGACTTTGCACAAAAATTATGTTACACAATTTCAGATTTTAGCGTTTTATTCGTAAAATTTGTGAATCGGTTTTTTCAAAATCATTTACGCCTTGAAATTTACGCCAATTCTTGATTTTATTTATGAAAGATTTAACGCTAACTGGATATGAAAGTTTAAAAATAGTAGCAATCTTATTTAGAAGATCTATCGTTCCTTTTCGGTTCCCTTTGATTGTTTTGTGAGAGCGACAATTCGGGAAAAGTAAAAGTGCCTGTTATCAACGAAAATTATAAAATGGGTCGGGAATATCAAACCTTTTACTTACTTTCATAATTGTTAAATCCGTAATTAGATCCGAAATCCCGAGCTTGGATCGGGTCCGGTCCGGTTGCTTGATTCTGTAAAATTAAAATATTCCATTACTACCTCTGGTTAATTTTTATCATTTAATCATTTTAATATATATTATTAAATTAAAATATAAAGAGCATTCTTAAATAAAATGTTAAATTTTATAGATAAACAAATATATTAAAAAAAGCATGAAAGTAAGGTTTTGGAATAATTTGAATACATATTTTGTTGCAAATATTGAATATTGAATTAAAATTATTATATAAATAAATTATTTTAATTTTTTATACATCTAGAAGAAAAAATAATATTTCAAATCATGCTATTTTGCAATTTTGCAATGCATTTAATATAGCAAAATTTGGATCAAATTCAATATATTTTTAATATATGGGAACGTTTCCAGTAAAATCAAGTCATGAGGCATAGTAAATCATATGATCCGTAATGTGATTTTACTGGAAACGCTCCCATATAATACTACTGAGGGGGGACAAAAGTATTGCACAGTTTTGATTTAGATATTTTAGTTAATTTATCATATGTAAATAAGTCATATTTTTTTAGTAACATATTGGCTAGCTTATGTTTAATAAATTATTTAAATAATTGTTAAAATTAAAGCATTGCAAGTTGTAAAATCGAAAAATTAAAAACACATTACTTTTCAATTTTTTGCATGTATTAAGCTTCGCTATAGGGATTCGATATTTGGTTTTTTGGATGTTTCTCTTAAAAAAGAAACCAAATAACAATTGTATAACAAATTCTATAATATTTATGATTTCTGAGTTACGAAACCCAATTTTTTGTTGTAATAATGCCTTTTTTTTAAAAGATAAGTCCTTTAATTATAAGGTCACTTACTCCAAATCAAAATTTGGAAGTACTTTCAAATTTGATTTTACGAATTGCATATAATTGATCTACAGAATTGAACTAGATGATTTACAAATTGATCTACATGTGCAACGTTGACATTGTTAATATAGTTAATATAGTTTACATATTTAATATATTTAACATGTTTGATTTATTTAACATATGTAATATATTTAATATAGTTTATTTATTTAATATAGTTAATTTGTTATTATATGTATTTCAAAAGATATAAATTAGAATTTATAAAAGAGGTAGAATTCAAAAGGCTGTGTGAAATCAACAATTCTTCAAATTATTTAAACTAGCTGTGTGAATAAATCTTTATGAATCAACCTTTTCCTATTTTATTTTTACCATTTATTTCTTTTATTTTTTATTTTTTTTTTATATTTTTATCAATAAACTCTTTCTATTTTATCTTTTAATCCTTTGTGAGTTTATGTGATATATTAACCTTTGTAAATTATAAATCTCAATTATATATATAAATTTTAGTAATAACTTATAAACCTTTATGTTACATGAATTCTTGTAATAAACTATAAATTTTAGTAGAATATAGCCTTTGTGAATCTTAATAATATATCATAAATCTTCATAAATCTTTATGAAAACTATATTAGCTTTAATGAAACTTAGTGAAGTTATTATATAAGCTAAAAGAATTACTACTTAAACATCTTGTCTAATTGTAGTAGTCCACCAAAATCACATATTAATAATATTAAATTTCAACTTATTTTACTAAAAAAATCATATTTAATTTATAAGTAAAATTATAATTTTTTTAGTGTTTTATATCTTTCTACTGCAAAATGCCACAATGATAAAAGTAATAAAATTATTTTATTTCACAAATATTTGTTTTTTTATTATTTATTATATATAAAAATAAAGCAATTAAAAAATTTTAATCAAATAGAATATGATTGTAAAAATTCAATATTGATTAGTCGTATTATATAATATCTTTAGATATATAATACAAGCATTTCTATTACAGATTTTAATAGATACTAAGTAAAGAAAATAAAACTAGAAGAATATTTTAAACATTTTTTATCTATAAAGATAACTAGTTTATTTATTATTAGTGATACCTGATTAAACTCTTTTTTGAAAAATTGTAATTTTATCAAAAGTTTCGTCTCTTTATAAATAAATATAAAATTATTATATTTTTAATGTATTTTAATTCAAGGAATTTAGATTAAGTTAAATATAATTTTGGCAATTAAGTAAAATAATTTTGTCATTAATAAAAAACTAGTTTTGTCATTTCGGTTTCATCAATTTCGTTATATTAAGAAAGGTAATTTCATCAGGTATCACTAGTAGAATCCCTCGAAAAATCAACTGTGGAGAAGATTTTTCCAACTTCACAGCAGACCAATGGTAAACATTTAATACAATTTATGCAACTACGTCACTTTGGGAACATCTATCAGATATCGACCGAATGATTCTAACACATTTTGTTAGAGTTTGTTCGATTCTGGTAAATCAAATTCTGGAACTCGATTCAGTATAAGAATTTCACGAAAGGTTGATTAAAATAGTAAAACTTATTGAGGAGCATTACGGGCGTGATAAAATAACACTGAATCTCTACCTTTCACTCCATTTACTAGAATGCTCATACGATTTTACCCTTTATACACTTTCTGGTATTTCTAATTTGAACATATGAATGGGATACTCGGTAATTATAGCTTCTTTTTCTTTTTGCCAATTTATATAATGAAATGTGCTAGTAAATAATAAAATATGTTAATAATATTTAGGTTCATTACCGAGTAGTCATAGATAAATTGAGCCAGAAATAATACGCAGATTAATGAATGATAATTGTATTAGAGAAATCAGTAGTTTGGTAAATATTTGAACAAAAGGTTTAGATTTGCTTGATAAATAAACTGTAGTTGGTTCGTTATTAGAAGATGTCGAATATTCATCTGATGAAATGGAGCGATTTTGGTCTAATTCGAGAAACATTTAGGAATCAATCATTACTAGACGTGAACCATTTTCTGAAGAAATGCTAAGTTCTAAATTCGATGTGTTATTGTCCAAGACAATGCTTGATTTAATGGTTGAATACTATACAGCAACATATGAAACACATAATTTCAAGGCACCATTCAATGATGGATCTGAAGATTCGATCATACTTAGTCATGTTACAATAAATAAATTCAGTCAGTGTAGAATTGGTTCAGAGGTGTTTGGCTCAGCCATGTCATTTCGACATGTGAAAAGTTCATTTATTTTAGCAAATTTTATAACATTTGATAATCAGATTGACTGTTATGCTGGTCAAGTCCAGTATTTTTTTAAGCATATAATCGATTTTGAAGATAGACCGGCAGAACATAATTTAGCATTTATTCAGTGGTATAAGCTGGTAGAAACATATAAAGTTCGATATTATTTTAGTATCGATGATGATGAAAACTCTTGTAATATTGAACTATAAAAAAACGAATTTTTTCCCGATGATCATGACAGTATTATTCTAATGTATAATATTCTTTGTCAATTTGTATCAGTAAAATATAAAATTTTTACTCATCCAAATGCTATTGAATATTTAGCCATAAATCTGATAAATCGTAAATTCCATATTCATTAACTTTTATTTTATAATATAAATTTTTCATAATAAACCAAAACCTGATTAATATAATGCTGAATTATATACAATATAACAAATGACAATCATTTTATTATAATTTTCATGTCGAATTTTAAAGAATAACTGAAATTTTGCCAAACTGAATCATTTAAATGTTTGTAGAAAGATCTTAGTATAAAAATAATGCTAAATCATGTGTGTGCCATAATTTTTTATCGATTTTTGTAACTTAAACCGAATTTTGCTAAATCATATGACTGAATCAGCTGAATGTTTGCTGAATAGTATTAGTGCTGAAATAATGCTAAATTATGTATAATGTAACAAATAACTATTGATTTTTGTAACTTAAGCCAAATTTTGCCAAATTATATGATTGAATCGGCTGAATGTTAACCGAATGGTATTAGTGTCGAATGAAATAATTTCGACTAGTGTAAATCTAATTGAGTTCTTTTATTGGTTTTTGTTTTATTGTAATA